CATAGGTTTAACTGGAGATTTAGAAGGAAACAAGAGGGAGAATGTAAAAGGGGCTACATCTGAAAAGATGGTAGCTGGAAATTTTCCAAAATATATTAATGACAGTAATAAACAATTTCAGGAAGCAATAATCAAGGCAGAAAAAATAAAAAGAAATTGACATTTGTATGCATCCTGGTAAAACTGGAGAAACAAGGTAATGGGAATGGATGACAGAAAATAGTGGAATGGTATGTTTGAAGCGCTAAAAGAAAATGACTGCCAGCCCAAATTTCTATATACAGAGAGAATATCTATTTCCAGAATGAGAAAGAAATATAGACTTTTTCAAACAAACAGACATTGAGATAGACTCACCACGTCCCTTAATACAGGAATTTCTCAGAATATACTTCAAGCAGAAGAAAAAGTGATTCAAGGGGGCAAAACTAAGAAATAGGCAAGAAAAAGGCAAGACTTGAAATTTATTTCAAGAAGAAGTAAATAGCAAAGGACATTGTAAATACTGGGTAAATATAAAACAACACTGACTCTATAAAAGAGAATAAAAAATGTCAAGTGATATTTAAAAAAACACTAGACAGAAATAACATGGAAATTAGGAACGGAATAAATGGGTTAAAAGTATTCTACAATAATACACTTGGAAGAGGGTAAAGGATTTGACTAGCTTCAGTCTTTGATAAGTATCAATGTTGTAATAATCAGCTAACTACTAACAGAACAGAAACAAAGTGAATCACTCTGAAACTAGTAGAGAAAAAAGTGAAATGAGAAAATATTAAAGGACAGAAAAAAACAAGACATATTTAGCGAAAGAAGCAGTAAGCAAAAGAAATATACACTGTGATCCATTTATATAAATTCAAAAACAAATTGAACTGTATTTTTAAGGGATCTAGTTCCAGGTGGGAAAATAATGAAAGGCAGTAAAATAATGACTATAATGCAGATTAGTGGCTAATTCTAAGGGAAAGGAGGAGCTTTGATGACAAAGGGACAAATGGCAGGCGGTGGGTTTCTGGAGGGCTGGCAGGTTCTACATCTTGTTCTGGGTGGTGCTTATGTAGGTGATTGATTAAAAACTTAAAATATACATAGGTGCTTTATACATTTTACTAAGAAATGGTTTCTAAAACATTATTTTACAATGTTTATTTTAAAATTTTACAGTGAGCTACAAATCAGAATATATATTTTTAAAATATGAGAATATGGACCTATCCTTTCCTTCATAATTCAGGAAATCTGGATCTAGAAATACCAGTGGTTTTCAAACTTTCCTCCTCATAGGAGAGCCAGCCAGTCAGGATCAAGCTTGCTCTGGTTTGAGGTAACGTGAACAAAATAGAGACCATGTACGTAGACATATAAGGGGGACAGTTTCCTTCCTTGGTAAAGACTGTCTTATTCTGAGATTTTATCCTTTCTAGATTTTGGATTGCAGTATTTTATAATGTCCTTCCTGTTATAAAATGATAATTCTAGCAGATGGTCAATTTCTATCTAATGTCCTTATTGAAAAACAAAAACAAAGATGGGTCAGTCCCTCTTTTCCTTTAATAGGTCACTGAGGAATCAGAGCCGATAAATCTCTCATTCATCCACAACAGTGAGGAGACACTGTGCCTACTTTCAGGGGAAGTCTCCTTTGATAAAAATGTAACTTATCCAAGTTATGGACTGAATGTTTATGTTCCCTAAAAGTCATATGTTGAAATCCTAAACCCCAGTGTGGTGGTATTAGGAGGTGGGCCTTTCAGAGGTAATCAGATCATGAAGGTGGTACCCTCATAAATGGGATTAGTACCCTTATACGAACATGAAAGTTTACTGTCTCACTTTCTGACTTCTGCCATGTGAAGATACAAGGAGAAGACTGCCAATTGCAAACCAGAAAGCAAGCCCTCACTAGACACCACATTTGCCAGCACCTTGACCTTGGGCTTCCCAGCTTCCCGAACTTTTAGAAATAAATGTCTGTTGTTTAAGCCACCCAGCTTGTGGTATTCTGTGAATAAGACAGATATGAACTGAAAGAACTTCAGTGAGAAAGAAAGGTAGCCAAACAAGGAATGCGGAATCAGGCACAATATTTGGTGACATGTTGTATTAAATGTGAAAACAGTAAGAGTAAGAGATCATAGAAAAAAGTGGGAGCTCCAGGAAACTATCTATGGACATACAAGAGGTTACGTCTAGACCCTTAAATGGATGGATGGCTTCATTTTCAGTCTTAGTCAGTGCTCAGACATGACATTTTATGCTGCCTATGCATACATATTTCTCTTTTTGAAGGCCATTCATGATGAAGTTCCTTGAATTAATATATTCTCTTCTATAAATTTCTGAATCAGTTCAGGTATGAAACCAATACGGTGTAATAATATGTTATAATTATACCATATTCAAAGTTATGTACTATGGAATATAATATATTTATATATTTTAGTACAGTATGTTATAATAGAGTATTATAATAATTATTTTATGGCTATAATGCATTTTTTTCTTTTTATCCAATAATTTTATTTATTACTATTTCTGTTGGCAAATGTCACTATACCCATTTTACAGGTGAGGGTTCTGAAGCTCAGGGAAGTAAGAACTTTGTCAGCTACTAAGTGGCAAAAATAGAATTAAGTCCCCTGTGTTCCAACTTCAAAACTCTGCTTTTAGCTAATTTGTTGCTTTGTCTTACCAGTGAGCTAACATTCAAAGGTCATTTGTAAAAAGATTAAAACACCATTTACTCTTTTAAATCACATTCATCACTAAGGCAGCTTCTACTGACCCCTTGGAGGAAAGAGCAGACTTTTTCCCAGAAGCACAATGAATACCAACAAGACATGTCTAAGGGGGTGCAAGGGAAACTCAGAAACTTGAGCATCAATCTCTTTCAAAATAAAACCACAGCATCTTTAATCATGGCCTGGCAATCATCATATCGTTTCTCTGGGACTGGAATTGGTAAATGTGGGCAATCCCACCAGGCCCTTAATACTTGGTTAGAAATGAATCCAAAAAGTTGACTGGCAAGACAATTCATGCAGTTCAAACATGAACCTGTAATTCTCTTCCCCATTACCACAAAACACAGTTCCTGCCCTGAATCCGCTCTGAAGACAGTGAGTGCTTGGGAGAAACTATAAGAGCCAGAAATAATAAGTAGGAACTGCCAAAAAATGTTAACAGATTTTTTCTATTGTCAATTTACAATAATTCTGAAGTTTGAATTGGAGGCGTCTAATTAGTGAGGTAACTTGCAAGGATTGCCTACAATCTAAAAGGGAGTTTTCTTTCACCTGTGTAAAATTAAGCAGCTGATAATCATATCTCCCAGTAGGAGGAGATTAAAATAATAAAATAAAAATAAATCACATGCTTTAGAATGGAATCTAATCTCTTCCTATTATCCCAGCACATTCTCATAAACTGCTCCAATGGAATTCTTCTCACTCAGCAAGATGAAGATCATCTCCTCAGCAGCTAAATTCAGCAAGGCAAGGGACTTGCCTCCCTTCCTGACTTCCCCTTTAGAACTCATTCACAGGGAAGACAAAGGACCTACAAGTGGATGGGGGTTGTTTCGTGCCTGGCCCTTAGGGGTACTTTATTTTTCTTAAAAAGATTATCTCAACGTTACTGTAGCCAAAAAATAAAAACAAAGCAAAATCCTAAAACAAATTTCTCAGGCAGTTTAAATTAAAAATACAACGGACTGAGATATATTTTTAATTTATTCATAATTAGTTTACAGATTGGACTGCACTGAGACTCCAAAATCAGCAAGCCACTTGGGGATAAAGGCTATTGCAATTATCAGGAGCAAGCCAAATGCTACCTTTTGTTCTTACTAAAATCTCCTTCTTTAAAAAACATCTCCTAGCAAATGATTTTCTATTTTCTATTTAAAGAGGATTATATAGCAAACATGACTAGTGGATGGAGAGCAAAGAACTTTCCATCGTTTTAATACCTGCCAAATATAAATTAGTTCATTGTGGTTAACTCCTGCCAGGCGACCCCTTTCCCTGTCGCCCATCAGGCCAATGGGCTGTGGCAGGTTGGTTCCTGCCTGGAGTCCTTCCTAATCAGGAGGCTGTCAGATATGTTGCCTGCCCACTGTCTCCTACATCTTGTGGCAGCTCTTGTGTTTGGGCAGCAAGGTTTTGAGCTTGAATTGCTCCAGTAACTAGCTCTGAATTGCTCCTACTTACTATCACTGTCAAATCTCTGTAGGCATATGTGAGGCCCTCCTTCAGGTACAATGATATAACCTCACAAATTTCACTTTGTAATAACTACAGGATACAGAAATTGTATTAGCTCCATTAGATGGATTCATAGAAATATTCAGAAAGGTTAGCTGGATATAGTGAATGTCACAGTTAGACTAAGATAAAAAATCACTTTGTTAACTTGGAGTGTTTCCTCATTGGTAACACCCTATATTAAGGTGCCATTTATAAACAGTTTATTATTATTTATTAATGTGTGAAGCACTTTATAGCATGCTAGATAACAACTTAAATTCATGTATTAAAGATGCACATACATGGTTTAATAGGATTTACGTCTTATAATATTCTTTAAAACAGCTTCCCATAGTCTCATCCGTTAAGCATTTATTACTAATGCATTTTATAACATACTTTATAATACATTATTTGAGCAAGTAGCTGCATTTAGTGATCATTTCATAAATAAGAATAAAGTATTTATAAATGGCACCTTAATTTAAAGTGTTACCTTCACATTACTAGATAGCTGCTCACCATTCATCTCATTTTGTGATTATTCTCCAAATGCACCACTTAATAAAACAGACACTAAGTTCTATTTTCCCTTCATCTGATTAAAAGTTTATTGAGTCATTTCCTCCATCCGCTTTCAGATGCTGGTAGCTTGGAGGCTTTAGTGTGATTTCTGATGAAACCAACTTTTAATTCAACAGTATTTTGAAAGGATAATAAGAGTAGAAACAGAGAACTACCTACCATATTGGACAGAGCCTGTTGCTTGGATTCTTTGTAAAATTCAATTTTTCGACTAGAAAGAACAATCCAGGAGGTAGACCAGTTTTTCCTTAGGGGGGAAAAAAGGGGAAAAAAAGCATTATCAGTTGAAGAAATTATTTATACAGTGTGAGGATTTGGAATAAGTAGGGACTGTCTTTATTTTTATCTAGTCTTCCTAAAGCTCTTCGCTTTGTTAAAACCTATAGGTGGTATGGAATTTGGGTAATGATACATTCTGAAAATTTAAAAAGCATGACATTTATAGTAAAAGTTTCTCAATTTTCAATCTCTTTCAACTACTAAAACTCCAGTTTTTGTTTAATCCCCAGGCTCTGTCCCATGAAATGTTTAGGTTTCTACAGCAAGCCAGTAACAGCAAAGTAAAAATAGGAATCAGAACCCCTTTCTGCATTGTTTCTTCTCTTCATTTGTTTAGTATATTTCAGCATTTGAAAAACTAACCAGCTCATGTGTCATTGCTTACTTCAAAATATTTTTGTAGTGTTGAATCTCACCAGAAATCAAAGAAATGCAAATAAAAACAGTGATATGCTTTTCCCCTCTTTGCCCAACAATTTTTCAAGGATTAAAAGAAATGATACTATCTGGGATTAATAAGGATGCAGGAAATGGATTCTCTCATACACTATAGGTAAGAGTGCAAACTGATACATCCTTTCTGGAGTGCAATTCGACAATAAATAAATATATATATTTAATCTTTAAAAATGTGGAGTATATCTTTTAACTAAACATATTTATTCACATGAATTTAAATTTATCCTAAAGAAATAGTCCCACAAGTTGCTAAGGTGTGTGTAAAAGAATAAAGTGCACCATTATTTGTTAATTCTGGACCTAAAATATGGAAAAACTAATAGATTAGTTAAGCAAATTGCATATAACAGATTCATATAATGGAACAATAAACACTATGCTATAGAAGAATACTGATATGAGAAGATTTTAATGCAGACCATAATACAATATGTAGTTCATAGAACATGTTTTGCTATTTACCTAGGACTGTCTTCACCCACCCAACCCATTCTGATTATTAATTCCATTCATCAGAAGTTCAAATGTTGTTTCCTCAAATGTTCTTTTCATACTTCCTCACATATCACTTATGATAAATTAAGAAATAATTTTTGTAAATTTCACCTCTATCTTCCCAATTAAAAAACAAGCCCCAGAATGATAGAAATAATTTTATCTTTACAGATGTATCCCCAGTGCCTACTACATTACCTTGGACAGAATAAGCATTAAATATATATTTATTGAGTCAATGAACTTTGTCCTAGCAAAAAAGTCTGGATATAACAATAGCTAAATCAGGTGGTGAAATCACAGCTTTTGATTTTCTTTTATATTTCCTGGTATATACCAAATTTTCTGTATTGAGCATGTATTACTTCTGTAGTGAGAATATGTGTGTGTTGTGTCATAAAGGGTACTTTTATATAGATGGTGAAAACAGTAAGGAAATTAATAGACATACATTTCTACCCATGGTATCATATTGCTGCAGTTTACTTTGGTTTAACGTTCATTTCAAAATAGTTGAATTCAGTTTATAAAAGTGGTAAAAAAAAGATTTACAAAAAGACTTCTTTCAGGTCAATAGAAAACCATACAAAAATATGTTAAATATGACTATCAAGATCTTTGTGTAATTTATTTTCATGTGTCTCTTAGAATCTAGGGGATTGATTGAAAAGAGAACTTTGATTCAGTAAGGTTAATATTTACAAAAAGAATTAGGTTGCTCTTACATGCCTGAAGCTTTCTTAATGATACACCACGGTGTTAATAAAGAAGAGGATAAACAGACATAAGAAACACAATGTGCATTTTCCAACATATAAATATGAAGGATATGCCCTTGGACCTTCTTGTCTTCAAATGAAGAGTCAATTTTTCAATCAAATGATGAAAAGATGAAAAAATAAAAAGCCAGAAAGAAAACCACATAGATGCTTTCCTCTGCTTTAGTGCTCATCTCTCCTTTTAGGTACCAGAAACAGCAAAGAGAATGGAAGTAGCCATAGCCTTGTCTTTACACAGGTCATAATATTGGACGGCCCAGACAGGGAAAAGAGAAACTTTAGAAAGACTGCTGGTCTAGACTGGGCATCTTTTATCACCGCCCTTATTTTGACCATATGAGTTCAGGGAGTGTGGAACACCCGCACACGTGACAAATTCTTATTTAACCTGCCTGTTATATTTCCCACTGTGTTTTTCATCTTCTGGCAAGGACATCTTATTTGCTTCCTATCTATAGTAAGTCCTGGATAAATGGCTGTGATTTGAATCTGTTTCAGATGGTGATAGTTTATAGAACTTGCTGGCAAAACTCTCCCCTTCTTTAAACTTGGAACTGAATCTGGTTAGAATTGAAGTTGCATGAAATTCAATTATATCATTGTTCTCTATCAGGACTTTGAACTGCTGTGAACTGTGTCCCTGTTAGGTAAATCACAGGAACCAGTGAGCAGGATGAGAACTGCAGGCTTGGAAACCTCCTAGTGGGAACTTCTCTGACACTTTGCATACAGTGCTACTTCATTTTGAATTTATAAACTACAAACACTGTCTGCATTGTTTAAGAACAAAAGTTTTCCCAAGAGTTGAATTCTATTGCTTAAAAAGAATTTCATTTAAAAATGAAGAATAAAATTCTTCAACAAGAATAAAATTGTTCAATAAAATTTGACAACTTTTTAGATGCCCTTCTTTCATTTCATTTTTTTCCCATGATTTCTTTTAAAATAATAATTGGCATAAGTTATTTTGAGTACCTAGTATAAGTCTGATTGTGTTGCACAGGTTTAGCTTCATACAAAGAAAATTATGAAAGTACTAATGTCTCTATTTACTAATGCCGAAAGTGAGGCTCAGAGAGCTTAGGTAACTTAGTTAAAGCGATACACTTAGGTTTAAAGTCAAGCCCAGTTTCTCTGTCTCCAAAGCCTATAATCTTTTCATTACTTTAGGCTGTCCTTTTTTTTTTTTTTTTTAAGGATTAAGCAGTACTACCTTGGTTACTGACATCATCAAAATTAGATTTCAACTTTGTTTTGGTTGAAATCCTCAAATTATAAAAGCTAGTGTTCATAACCTGTCACAACATATCAGCCCACTGGGTTCTCTTGTTAACTATTTGGCCTGATCCTTATTAGAAAGACTGGGCAAAGACCTGCCACACCCAAGCTCCCTTCCAGAGGCTGAGCTGATTCAAAGGAATAAGATGATGCACCGTTCAGCTCCTCATCAGAAACCAGAGCTCCTAACTGTGGTGGCTCCTCTATCTCTTTCAGACTAGGGATTATTCTGGTCTATGATTGGCAGACTTATCTGCACTCAGTAGGGAACGGAAAACCAGAAAATGAATCAAAGGTCTCTAGCGTAGGAGTAGGTGAGACTTCACCTGATGGTTACGACTTCTAACATACGTGTTAGGTCTGAACCTTCCTCTCTGAACAAAGTACTCTGAAACTTGACCATTGCCTTTATAATATCTGTCCCCTTTCCGTACATTCCCCTTTCTGATGTGTTCAACCCATTGTGGTGCCCGCAGTTCCTAGGATATCGGTGGGCTAGCTTTCTCACCCAGTTGCTCTAACACAGTGAGCCTCTTATAAGACATTGTCAGCTCTGGAGAGAGTGTGAAAAGAGTCAATTGTCAAGGTTTAGCCTTCACATGAACCTTTAAGTTTTCCAGAGGCAACCAAATCATTACAGGTGGCTGTTGTTCAATACATAGGGTGACACCTCAGGAAGTGGGTAACTCCTACAAGCTTAGAGGGCTCAGCCAGGACGGGTGAATCCAGCAGTTTCTGATGAAACTTTTAAAATAGACCTTTCTAGGATGAAGAGGTTTTCACAATAAAAGTCCCCCATTCTCCTAACTCCCCCAAAGAGGTGGATACCATCCCTATCCTCTGAGAGCTATTCCCGTAGTGGGCACACACATTTAGTCGGTGCTTCTTAAAAGTTTTTGAGTAAACGAATATGGGCTTTCAAATCCCAGGCAGGTCACCCCTCTAGAGTTTTCCTGCTCTGTTTGCTGTTGCTCGCCAGGGAGGACTACAAAATTTCCTGCCTAAATCTCCTGCCTCATCCCTTCATTTCCCTTCTCTGTTCCTTAGTTCCCTAGCATTTCGATGTGGCCTTCCTAGCAACTTTTTTTCTCTTGACTATCTAACACTTTTGTTTTAGTTTTTTTTTCTAATTTATAATTCTAGTGGCTGATACCTAACCTACCTCCAGGGGTCTTTCTCACTTCTCAGATACATATCAATAATATGAGCTATCCTGTCATATTGGTCCCCACTTTGTACCAGGTATGCCACCTGGTATTTTATATGCATCATGTCATTTAATCACTAAGCCAGTCACAAGTATCTGATGAACATTTACCACATGCCAAACACAATTCTGAGGGCTGACTATATAAAGGAAAATAAAAGAGACCTCAAAGATTTTACCTTTAACTATAGGAAGACAGACAAAAAAAAAAAAAACATGGAAACAAATAAATCCTCCAATGTTACAGTTGAAAAAACTGAAGTTGGGTCAGGCTACATTTTACCCATGGACAGACAAGTCCTAAAGATGGGACTCAGGCCAAGTCTTCTGTGGCTTGAAGCCCATGCTCATTCCAATGAACCAACTGTCTCTAGATCAGGTGGCATGCAGCTCTCCCTTCAGTCATATTGAGCAGGTCTGTGCAGAACCACATGGCAGGAGTTAAGAGGGGGAGATGCAGAACTGTTGTTACAGAAGGACTGGAACCTCCTCCTCCTTGCAGCAAAGCCACATCTTAGCCTGACCTGGGCTGTTCTGCAGTGCTGAACTGCGAGCCCTTTGGTCCCTGCCTTCAATCCCTGCCTGGATGGTCAGCAGGTAGATCCATCCACCAGTAAGAACCAATTCATGCCTCCACCTTTCATCGTAACTTTGAGAGCATTGATTTCGAATTTTCCTCACAGAGGGATAAAAACTAAGCCACAGGATAGACTTAAGGGTTAAGTAAGACACATAGCTCAGGAAATATAC